TGCGGTTCATGTTGCTGCTGTAGGAGGGCCTGCATTCCAACACGAGCGGCTCGTTTGTGGATGCCAATCATAGCTGCTCGGGCGCGAGGAAGGGGGCCAGCGGTGCGGGTCAGCCTCTTTAAGTGGGAGCCCTTGCAGTCGGGGAAGAAGGTAGAGTTGGTGACGTGCTCGAAACGTTGGACGATGGACGTCTTGATGGACCAGCACTCGCTGCACCAGTGGCCGCGCTGCACTGTGACGAGGGAAGCTGCTCGTACGCGGCGTCGCAGAGCGCGTTGGCTGCGTCGCGCCACGCTGCCACCGTGGTGGTGGCTGTACGCCACATAGTGGCCGCCAAGTAGTTCTCGATGCCAATAGGGACCTCAGCCTTGGTCCAGAGGGACATCGCGAGGATGTCGGACTTCGCGAAGCTGGACGGGGCAACGCGCAGCAACTTGTGGATGGCCTGCAGCTCCTTCTGGAGGATGCCCGCCGAGGGTTCGAATAGCTGGCCTACGTATCCAAAGACCGTGACGGCAGCGACGTTGTACAGTTTGATGCTCTGCTGGATAGGGGCGTGGGACGCGGCAAGCTTCTCGATGCGGTCCCACCACTTGACAGCAGGGCCGCGCCATTGGTCATCAAGAGTGGCGCCGGGGCCGATAAAGAAGCCGAGGTATCGGGCGCTGGACTCGACCTTGAAGGCGGCCCAGGGAGCGTGGGCAGCAGCAAGTACTTGACGTATCTCTGCAATGATGTCCTGGGTGGGCAGCGTCCAGGTCGGGACCACGATGCATTTCTTGGCCTGGAGGCACAGGCCCGCGAGAGTCTCCACCGCGATGATGTGCGGCGCGAGCTTGCTGATGTCCGCGAGCCTCGCGAGGATGATGCCGAGGTCGTCAGCACATGCACTTACCAGACCGCGCTCGATGGCTGAGAGCTCGCTGGTGAGGGCTCTGATGACGGGGTCGAAGACGAGTGCCCAGATCGTACCGCTTAACGGACATCCCTGAGCGACTCCTGACGCTGCGAACAAAAGGGGGCGGCGTGCTCCTCCCAGGTCCAGGTAGGAGACAGGCCAGTGGTAGCAAGCTTGTAGCAGGTGTAGCATGTGTCCATGGATGCCCCACCGCTGGAGAACATTCCACATCCAGTGGTGGCCGAGGCTGGGGAAGGCGGCCGCGATGTCCATGCTGACGAAGACGGGCTTGTCAGTAGCTGCATTAGGTGAAAGACTGTGACGTCGAGCGGCGGCGTCAACCACGACGACGCTACGCAAAAACTGGCGGCCATTGACGAATCCCCGCTGCTCGGGGGACGTCTCGGCTGCGAGGGCGTGAAGCTGCCGGTTGGCGGCGGACGCCACCAGTTTCACATCCGAGCTCTTCATTGAAAGCGGACGTAGGCACTCTGGAGCACGGGTGCACTCCGCATTGCCGCAGGGTTCGTCGACCTTCGGTAGCATGGCCATGAGGGAGTAGTTGAGGTCGTGAGGCGGTGCGCGTCTGGTGGCGATGTCACGGCAGAAGTCGGCGAGGATGTCGAAGCTGTCGGGAGTACGTAGCCATGCTTTGTAAGGAAGTGTATCGGGTCCTGGTGCGGAGTCGCCAGCCAGGCGAGCAGCCTTCTCAAGAGCTTGGGCGTCAGGTAGGTCGAGGTGGGTGAGCGCACGTCTGGGGAAGATCGAGTCGAGGCAGTTGGAGAGGGCATCTTCGGGAACATGCTTTGCAGCAAAGACGGGGGCCCAGTGGCGCATGATGGCCTGGTGCATCGTCGCGGGGTCGGAGACGATGTTGGTGACGCCGCCCGCGATGATCTTGACGCCCGTCAGGACGAGCCGCTTGGAGAATGCCTTCCAGAGCTCGCCGCGGAGGCCTTCCCGTTTGGCGCGCTGGCGCCACTTCTGACCGAGCTGGACATTGTTGGAGGCGAAAGCGGCTCGCGAGCGTGCCGCAGAGCGGGCCTTGCGCTCGTCACTGAGGCTCGCGTGCGTGGCGTCGGTGATCGAAGAGAAGTCGTGCATGTCTTTGATGCTGACGGTGCGACCGTCAATCTTCAAGTGCAGTTTGCCGATGTCAGTGTTGTCGATCAACGTCTGGGCGAAAGGGATGTTCTGGCACCATACGGCTCTGGCGATGCTGCGTAGTGTCATGGCCCTGGTTTCCTTATTGATAGTAGCACTTTGTGATGGTAGTTCGGCGGCTGGGATCTTGAGAAGCGTGTCACGGGCCCTGGCAGCGGCAACTCTCCTGGCTGCCTTCAATGCCCTCCAGCGCGCCGTGGGAGTGAGGGAAGACATGTCGACCGTGGCGAGCACTTTAGAGATGTGGTGCTTGTAGTGGTCAGTGTCGAAGATGTACGCGGGGATGCCGCGCTCGGTGACCTTCTTGGGCTTGCTGAGACGGATGCGCAGGTGCATGATCTTGTGGTCGCTGACGGGGCCCTTGGGGTTCTCGAGGGGGGCGTCGTCGGCGATGTAGACAGTTTCCATGAAAGGCATGAGGTGGCTAGGCAAGTTGATGAAGCAGCGGTCAATAGTCGATTCGTTTTTGTTAGCCTCCGATCTGTGCGTCGCCGAGGGAGTCACAATCTCGATGACGTCGCGGAACAGGTTGCGCCAGAAGACAGGTTGGTACTGGTAACGCTGTGATGCTGTGGTGTCTGAGTCGACAGGCGTGTTAATCGATCGTGGTGGGAACTCGGAGACGTTGAAGTCGCCGGCGATGACTAGAAGCCGCTGCTGAGGGACTTCGTCAGCATGTTGGCGAAGAGCGTGCCATTGGTCACGTAAGAGAAGCCGATCTGCTGGAGTCAAGCCGAAGTTGTGAATGTTGAGGACGGTGACTTCGTGCTGGAGGCTGGCATCCGTGGTCCGAAGCCAGGCGGCTCGACCAGGGATGACGACCTCAAACCTGAGCTGAGGCCGTTCGTCTGGAGGAAGTTGAAGCTCTGCCTTGTCGTAGGGAACGAGGAAGCCAATGCCGCCAGCGTTAGTCACGGGCGTGCCGTTAGCCATCACGGGCGAGTGAAAAGCTTTGTACCGATGCTGGGTAGAGTTCGCCAGCAGCTTGAGGTCGTCCAGGGTCCCATGAGTCTCTTGCACTGCGATAAGAGCTCGTTGGCGAAAATATGGTAGAAGTTGCTGTCGTTTGTCGGCGCGACGTAGTGCGGACTGTCCAAGAAGCGCTTGCGTGTTCCAGAATGCGATGTTCAGGCCCTCCTGCGAGGGTTTCAGGAGCCATGGGCTCCACCGAAGGCTAACGCCACTGTGCGGCGGAGAGGGGGTCTGCGAAGTTGCTGATGAACTCGGCGGCGATCTGCTTCTGGTCGTCTTCGGAGATTCCATGTCTGTTGGCGGCCTGTGACCGCTGGAGCTTAGTAGGAACATCAGCATTGCTGCCAACAATAAGGCGAACCATAGCCTCGCCGCGGCACGATATGTAGCCCAGGGTTCTGTGTGTGCGAGCATCGAGGTCTGGCTTGACGTTCTGCATGATCTTGGCGAGGCGCTTGATCTGGACCCCCGTGCGGACGGCCTTCGGGCTCTTGTCGGCGGAGACATATAGAGGAACGTATTTATCATTACCAAAATCGAGAGTGAATGTGCGCCAATCCTTTCCATTGCGCAGAGCATTATGAAGACGTTGTGCCCGAGGTTCCGCAACCGCTGTGCCCCCGCTGACCTGAAATGAGTGGCGCTTGGAGGGGCCGACCGCGTTGAAAATGACCATGTCCTTCTTGATGTTGGCGGCCTGGAACCATGGGGAGAGAGCTTTTTCAAGGTGTTGCTGGCCGAACTCCTGCGGGCTGCTGCACCAGAAGGTAGCGATGTCGGGGTCGCGGTCCCAGCTGCCCAGGCCGTCCAGGTTGAGGGCGGGAGCGCGTGCTTCTGCTGCTGTGATAATGGACTCCAGCTTGGCGACGGCGGCCTTGAGTTCGGAGTTCTGCTCTTCCAAGACATTGGTGCGGAGCTTGACTGCGGTGATGTCTCGTTCTGTGGCTTCGTGACGTCTGCTGAGGTCGGGCGTGATCTGCGTGAGTGAGGCAAGAAACTCTGAGCTGGCTGTGACTGCCTTGGCTGTGGCCTCGAACTTCTCCGTGGCGTCTTTGATCTGGGCGGCCATGGTCTCCTCGAGCTGCTTGCGAACATGTGCTGGGAGGTCGTGCACTGCGAGTTTGGATGCGCTGTCATGCCATGGGTCTTGTTGTCGCTTGACTGGGTCGGTGGCTCCGTCACGAGGGGTCGATGCAGCGCTGGCCAGGCAGTCGACAGGAGGCCCCATGTCGGCGACGTCAGCGAGCAGAGGCCCGCGCCAGCCTCAGGCGGCAAGCCGCCGATATGCGCGTGGAGGTGTCTGCAGGCGGATGCAGCACCGAATATGAAGCTCAACCCGCTGGGCAGCAGGAAGGCGAGGATATGAAAGCGTGTCCTTAGCTGTCCCTGGACCAAGGGTCTCCGTGCTCTGCCACGGGGCGAAATCATCTTGAGCCAAAATGGCTACGGAGGAGGAGGGGGAGGAGGAGGAGGGGCACGGGGGGGGGGCCCAGACCGCTGTCACGCCAAAGCTAACACCCCCCCAGGGAAAGGACTCCATGGAAAGGAGTGGGCCCCCAGAGTGTTGTCCAGGATTATCTGGGCAACCTCTACGAGACGCCACGAAGAGCGGCGGCCACGAAGGATCATGAAGCCAGGAAGCGAGACAAGTACAGAGCCCAAGAAGAGGTCGCGCGGTGATCAGGCGCAACAACCTCCTGCCCCCGGAGCCCAGAGAGGGAGGAAGGATCCCAGGGAACTCCCAACGGCCCCCCCCCGGAACTCCGGGGCGCCGCGCGCTCCCGCCCCGCCAGGAAAGGACCAGGAAAAAGCGAGGCAGAAGGGCCCCCCCCGAGGAGGGAAAGGGTTTGCCACCCCATGTTGAGAGCGCAAGTAAACCCACGATTGAGAGACCGAACAGGCAGAAGGAGCCATTTGAACCAGCGCGCTCCTAGGGTGTTGTCCGGGATCACGCCCGCGTGGAGGACTACGTGCGTCGCGATCCCGGCGGCCCGCATGGCGACGCGGCCGCGCTTGATCTCAGTGCACCTCCTCCTGAAGAAGACATCCGCATCGCCGCCTTTCGCAAGGCCGAGCGGGTCCCAGTAGCCGACGGGCGCCTGCGCGCCCATCTCGCTCTCGAGGGTGCGCAAGAGCGAATCCGCGTAGGTCGCCCAGTCGCCCCAGGCGGAGCCCGTGAGGTTGTCCTGGAAGAACATCCCGATGATGGCCATCGTGGCCAGGCGGCCTTTGGCCAGCTCCGCGTTAGGGACCGCTTGTTCTTCTGAAGGTCCTCGGCGCCGTCCCCCTTGACCGGGGCGACACCTCCCGGCCACAGGAAGCAATCCGGCACGATGCACCCTATGGCGACACACCTGGCGACGCGGCTGTGCTTGATCTCGGTGCACCTCCTCCTGTAGAGGACGTCCGCACCGCTGTCCTTCGCAAGGCCGAGCGGGTCCCAGTAGCCGACGGGCGCCTGCAGGTCCGACTCGCTCTCGAAGGCGCGCAGCGGCGACTCCGTGTAGGTCGCCCAGTCGCCCCAGGCAGAGCCCGCGAGGCCGCCCTGGAAGAACATCCGGTAGTAGGTGGGTGTTGTACTCCTTGAGTGGGGAAAGCGTGCCAAATAGCGCGTAGACAAATGATCTCGCTAAGCAACTGCACAACCCAACGGAGTCCACCTTGCAGACAAAATTCGCCTCTGATGTGGGCGTGGAGGTCGGGGGGAAGCAGTAGGCAGTCTGTAACGAAGCGGAGCCCCTTTCCAGAGGGGCACGTGCCCCCGCCACCGCCATTCCCCCACCGGGTCTGCCCTGGCCAAGGGGCGTACTACCCGGAGGGAGCGCCACGCCCGACTTGACAAAAATGCATAAGTGGTCACATGTGCGAGGACAATGTAGCGCCTGAGCCGGTCGCATCATGGCAGAATGGGCACACGTAGTGCAGCACCAAGAACATCGTGAAGAAGGCCACGGCCCATATAGCAGGGCGGGTCGGCTGCATGTGACTGGCCTGACTAATGGGAGTCCAAGAAGAGCCCAAGTCAACAGGCTGCACTTTCACGCCTCGTGGCAGCCCCTCGCCGTCGCGACCCGGACGAGTTCATACAGCGAGAACCAACCCTGGGCGTGGACAAGTCCCCCACTCCGTGTCAAGGCGAGCGTCACCATACCACAAATCTTCCAATCCGCAAGGGTCGAAACGGTACACGAAGCTCATCGCGACGGCGTACTGCACCCTCCAATCAGCAAAGTACAAGCGATACCGAAACTCGTCGGGACGCCGTAGCACAAGACATCCCCCTTCCAACCTGGACCGGGTCCAAAGTGTCAGGCGTGCGAGAACAAGTGCGTGCGATGTCCAATGAGTCCCAGTCGCCCGCGTCCCAAATACTGACTGCACCTCTGTAGCGGCGTATCTGAATTACACTGAATGTGGGCGCCCGCCATGGGCGGCACACCAGAGAACGGGGAACCAGGTAGTCCTGTCTGCCCATGTGGGTGATGTTTCGCCCAGCCGCAGGGCAGGCCTGCCACTGGAGCAGGACAGCGCCGCCACCCACAGGAATGCAGCGCCGCCCGAAGAATGACAGTGTTTAGCCGCAAGACTGCAAGTAGTATTCTGTAACTCTACTGTGCCATGATATCAGCATAGCGTGCAGGAGCGGTCCTCTCCGACCCACGTAGGGGGAACTGTCCTCGGAGTGGAAGAACATCCCGATGATGGCCATCATGGCCGGGCGGCCGTTGGCAAGCTCCGCGTGCAGGGACCGCTTCTTCTTCTTCTTCTCAGGGTCCGCCGTGGCGTCGGCGCCAGCAGACTGGTCCTGGAACAGCTCACAGAACGCGCAATGAGCCACGATTTGCTCCCAGCCCGTCGCGGGAATCTTGGAGAGGGCGCCGAGGCCGTTCAGGGCGTCCTCGACGGTGAGGCCCTCGTCCACCTCGTCCACGTCCTGAAAGTCCACCTCGCTCTCGAAGGCGCGCAGCGGGGAGTCGCCGTCCTCGTCCACCTCGTCCACGTCCTCGTCCTCCGCCTCCACCTCCACGTCCTCGTCCTCTGCCTCCACCTCCACCTCCACGTCCTCGTCCTCCGCCTCCACCTCCACCTCCACGTCCGCGACCTCGAACCCATCCTGCAGCACCTGGACTCCCAGCTCGCTCTCGAACATGAAGGCGCGCAGCGGGGATCCAGCGTACAGCGCCGTATCGCCCGCGGCGTCGGCGGCCGCGGCGGCGGCGGCCGCAGCGCCGGCCGCATCACCGGCTGCAGCGGGAGCGGCGGCGCCAGCGGCCGCCGCGGCCACGGCGGCGGCCGCCGCCCCCGCTGCGGCAGCGGCCGCCGCGGCCGGCCCCAGGGCGGCGGCGCGCGCCACAGCGCCGGCGGCCGCGGCGGTCTCGCCGCGGCCAGCCGCCGCCACAGTCGCGGCGGCCGCAGCGGCAGCGGCGGCCGCGGCGGCGGCGCCGCCAGCCACGCAGAGGCCGGGGGCCGCGCCGTGCCGCGGCGGCAGCAGGCCAGCCGGGCCGGGCGCGGCGGCGGTGCGGCGGGCGGCGGCCGCGGCGGTCTCGCCGCGGCCAGCCGCCGCAACAGCCGCAGCGGCCGCCGCGGCGGCGGCGGCCGCGGCGGCGGCGCCGCCGGCCACGCCGAGGCAGCCAGGCGGCGGCAGGCCGGCCGGGCCGGCCGCGGCGGCGGCGCGGCAGGCGGCGGCGCGCCGTTGCCGCCGCCGCCGCGCCGAGCGCGACTCCATGGCAGAGCGAGCGGGGGCGCGGAGGGGGGCGAGCCCCTCGCGCGCCCCCGCGGGCGGGGAGGCCGAGGACCGAGGGGCGGGCCCCTGGCCACGGCCGGCCAGCCGCTTGAGCCAGACGCTTGAGCCAGGGGGGGCTTGAGCCAGTCGGGGGCTTGAGCCAGTGGCTACGGAACTGGTGGCGATACGCGAAACGTCAAACATTTCTCACCATACCACACCACGCCAGTTCTCGGTCGCAAGACGCAAGGTCCTCGTCTGATGATCTTCCTTTTCGCACTCCTCGACTCTTCCCCTCCACCTCCTCCCCACCCTTTTCTCCTCACCCTCCTTCGACTGAGAGCATCATCAACGCAATCTCCGGCTCCGTCTCTACATCTCCCCGAACATAATTACGTTAGAATCCACGCGCGCTCCGCGCGAGCTCAGATATGGCACCCCGACCCTCACAGGGGGACACTCTGGGCCAATGCCTTTCGTTGCCACATTCATATTCGCACAGGCGTTTTAAGGTCATGCCCAAGAGGCAACACAGCTCCACGTTCTCGCGATGGCATGCCCAGATGTATGCTGCCCTCTTAAAGTGGTCTGGGCAGCAGTGGCCAAGCAACAACAAATCACGCAGAAACTGTCGATTCCCATGCGGGATCTTTAATTATTAGGCGAGTGCTGCCCTCTGAAAGAGGTCCGGGCTGCAGTTGCCGAGAAACGGATGCCATGCAAAATCTGCTGACTCGACATGACGGACGTCTGCTAACCTCTTAAATGAACCCGGCTGCACTGTCCAAGAAAGTGAGATGAAGCAGAAACTGAGGATCCCAAAACAGGACATGTCTTACAAAATTACTACACAGTTGCAGCGATCCTCCGCAAATTTGCTGGGCACACTGAAACCAAAAAGTTCAATCCGCTCCTTCCGGGAAGAGCGCGGCGCAGGTGCAAACAAGTCAACTGGCAGGTGTAGTTAAAGGTCCCACGCCTGCTGTCAAACGCCTCCGCACCTTGTCTCCAGAAAGTTACTGTGCACATCAGAAGGCTCGCGCACGGTCCGAGCACTCTGCTGGCTGCACATAGGGCCTAGAGCTCTCTTCCAGGCGGAGGAGCAGGAGGAAGATCAAGAGCAGGAGGACGATAACGGAGAGGAGCACGTAAGAGAACGAGATCCATAGGACTGTCTTCTGTGTTGGGGGGCGCTCTTTTTCGACGCCTGCGCTAGGGCCCGCGAGGCCGTCTTGGGGGCAACACCTTGCCGTTTCGGGAGCCCTCGTGGCTAACGTAAGACGCCCAAGTCGTTCATGGACCTGGTGCGATCCCTATTTGGGGAACATTTCCTATGTAAGTAGCTGAACAAGAAGAATATTGCTCGGAATTTCTTTGTTTGACTTTGCATTCCTTTGCACTGCTTTGCATTGCTTGGCGTTGCATCGCATTGCTTGGCATTGGTTTGCTTTGCATTGGCTTGCGTTGCTCTGCCTTGCTTGTGGCCGGGCCTGGGACGAAGGGGGACGGAGGGGGAGCTGGAGGCGGAGGAAGGCGAAGCAGGCCTGTGAGGCGCGTGCAAGATCCGCCGGCTTAAAACGCAGGACTAGCCGACTTAAAACGTAGGATGCGGCGCACACGGGCGGGAACCTACAAAATCCAGGACGCAGGGCGCAGGACGCGCGAATCCGCCGGAGAACGACTACCCAATCCCTGAGGGGCGGTGTGGGCTGGCTGGAGACGGAAACAAACAGAAAAGCCTGGGAACAATGTGCCTACCGTGCTCCCGCTCTGCTTCAATTCGCTGCGGCTCGCGAACAGGCGGAGAACCGCAGAGCGGTGCGACAGCAGCCGCAGGCTGAATACGCCGCACGATGAAAATGTCCTCTGCGCCACGCGCTGAGGCAGACAGATTGTGGCGACCTGGCCCCACGCGGTATACACCTGGCTACAACGGCAACCCATCGGAGTGTCGTGGGTTTCCGAAGTCGCCAAACTCACTGGGAGGGCCAGGCAGCGGGAGAATGAGAGCACCTGGGCCACAGAACGAGCACGCAAGGTTTACAAGTTCTTTCAGATCCCACCAGCCTTCTGGGCATAGGTGATCTAACGAGATGATTCCTGTCTCTTCCAAAACCCCTCAACCCTTCGGGGAGTGGTGCCCTTCCCCCCACTCCCTGGGTTTTTCCAAGGGTTCGCGACGTGTTAGGGGGTCCTTTTTCGCACAAGATGGCTCCTAGAGGGCCAACGATGCGGCAAGATGGCCCCCAAGATGGCTCAAGATAGCCGAAGATGGTTCAAGATGGCTTCCGACATGCCTCCAAGAGGCCCCAAGAGCCCAAGAGGACCACAAGACGGCTCCAAGTGCACTCGGAGCCCTCTCAAGACTTCCCCAAGAGGCCAAACTCCTTTAAAACCTAAGACAACCAATGGTTGCTACTTCCTCGCCTTCTCGTGTCCGATGCGGCTTTGAGTCCTCAAGATGGCCCTAAGATAAGATTGCCCAAGAGAGTCCCAAGAGAGGCCCAAGAAGCCCCCAAAGCCGGCCCCAAGACCGCACAAGAGCGTCCAACGAGGGCCTTTAAGAAGGCCCCAGGAAGCGAATTTTAAGGGCTCCTGCTGGAGACCTGAATCCGTCGACCCCCGCTGGCCGGGGGTGAAAAGGCGTGTGAGATGCTTGGCTGTCCCCCTCACCCTTTCTCAGACGAAGCCAAAACGAGGGCAACATCGGATGATGATCGGAGGTGGGGGGGTGAGATCGCAATGAAACGGAGACCCCCCACCGGGAAATCGGTTTCGGTTTCGTGTTCGTGTCGTGCGTGCGGGCGGGGCGACGCTGCGCGTGATCCTCCTGT